TGGGGGTGGGGTATCTATTATTAGACAGATTGTTTGGAAGCACGTAATCTTGCTTTATTCTACTGATGTCAATCTGTAATGCATGAGTTCAAAGATGCTATGGATAAGTTCCATGTTGGTGACTTTCTGTTTACCGACAACACAACCTCTATGAACGAACCAACAAAACAGAAACACAAACATACAAATGAGCAACCATTTTTAGTAATACAAAATGTTTATTAATCACAATTATGTAATTATTTCCTCTTATTCTCTTAATCACCACAGAAAATATAGTTTCAACGGATCTGCTTAAAACTTCAGTCATTGCATTGTAAACCACAACATCCTTCACTTTGATCGTACAATCTCTCCAGCATCCTCCACAAAAACTTGTTTCATGTAACCTGAGATCATCGATCTAGAACATAGAACATTATCATCGATCTAGAACATAGAACATTATCATCTTTCATCGTTTCAAACACAATCCTTGTTTCCATGAATGAATCAAGTAGCTATTTATTACTACTTCTTAATCTCACGATCACCATAAGCGNAACATAGAACATTATCATCGATCTAGAACATAGAACATTATCATCTTTCATCGTTTCAAACACAATCCTTGTTTCCATGAATGAATCAAGTAGCTATTTATTACTACTTCTTAATCTCACGATCACCATAAGCGGGAGAGAATTTGATGACAATGAGATGTTTTCATCTTTCTTCCCTCTCTGCAATTCAGAATCAAAAGTCAGTAACGAAACATTTCGGTCTTGCTGCTGAAACACTCAAAATTTAACTCACCAGTTCAAAGTGAAAAGGGGGCAAGAAGCGAACTTTAAGATTCACTCAGTTACTCTACACATTCTTCCCTGTTGAGAAAGACCTGAAAGAAGTAAGAAGAAGCTGGAGAGTGATAAATTTGCAGAGGTGGGTTGGTTTCATTTTAGAGGTTAGCACATAGAAAAAACTTTGAATGGTCCAGTTTCCAATTAAATAGATATTTTTTTCCTCTTTGTGCTGCCTCCAAGCATGAGCCAAGAACCAAACTTTGGTTTGACTAATCTGACTCTGGTTGTTTCTCCAATCTGGTGTCTGTGTAGATAGACAAATGTGCCTTAAATGAGCTGCACAGATCAAAGTGACTTGTACAATAAGTTAGAGTTTTTGTTGAAGTTTGTATATGCTTAAAAGTTAAAAAAGCAGAGAAATGCATAATCAGTGACTGATTCGGCTTTGGATCTTTGGCTTGTAATCCTAATGCTTGTCGTCTTGTATATAAGAAAACAGTGAATTGTTGTTTGCTCGGAAAAATTGATGCATAGTAAGTCCAATCTCTGGAACCATTCGTGCAACTATATAATGGTGATAATTTTTGTTTCACTGAATAAAATCTTTATCTGGATACTACCTTTAACTATCTCTCTATTATAATTTTTTTTTTAAATTTCAACGAGCTCTATAATTTGAACAACCAAAGCTTATTTACTCGCATAAGAGAATCACTGATACACAAATGCTTTCGGTGATATTCAAAATCATAACACAAAAGACAATGTGAAATTTAACACATTTAAGAAATGGAGAAAACATACTTGAGGGCTCGCGGATATCGCCATGGACATTTTCAATCGAGGGTTCGTCAGGAGATTGGGACCCATGTTCTTGAACAATAAATTCTAAATCGGAAAAAGGCAAAAAATTCACTAAAAAGCTTCACCACTTCCAAAAACCGCCTAAAAACTTCCTAATCATTTTTTTTTCCAAACAGCAATTCTGATTTGTTCTTGTAAGGTCTAGATTGATTAGAGTATACACATAAGTTAATCAATAGGAAAAAAAAAAGTGTTACTGTCGATGCAAATTCAATTATGTCATATAATCACAACACTTGATCACAGCGGATAAATAAATCTAGAAAGACAAGGAAAGACCAACTGTCGTATTCTAAAGACGAAAATACAATTCACAATATATAACAAATAAAACCAATCAAATAAGAACATGCAAATCACATAAGAAACTACAGATTGAGATCTTAATCATTGGCATTCACGTATCTTGAAGCTAGATTGACGAAACCATCAAATAATTTTCCTGATCAATTATCCAAGGATTAGTAATCTTAACAAAAACAAAACAGGAGAAGAAATATAAAGAGCAAAATAAAATCAGAAGTAAGCATTTAAGAATACACCTTGAAAGAGAGAGACGTATGAGCGATTTAGGTTTTGTGAGAGAGAGTTGATGATGAATCAGAGAAAGACGACGTATCAGTTTCGTCGCAAGGTTTTCTGAAACGTACATAATTTTTTACAATAATGGCATATGGGTCTTGTTTGATTTTTAAAAAAATCCCACTATAATTTCTCAGTCTAAAAACATTAAAAAAATGATGACAGGTGACTGTAAAACCGAAAAAGAGAAACCAATTTAAATCAAGCCTTGAGAGCTAAATTGTGATCCGTCTAATTTAAATGGGTTATTGCTGACATGGATTTTTTTGCCCCCCTCACAAATGCTGATGTGGATGCATGAGAAGGGAGAAAACTTGATTTTATTGTATAAGATTATGAAGACACACATCACTACAAAAGACACTCCACTACATATGAAAGGTATATTTTTAACAACTAATCAATAATTAAATTGTCTTTTATGCCACAGTTCATAAAATTAATAATTTAGAAATACATAATCAATAATTTCTCATTTATATGAAAAATACAACTCTAATAACTTACTAGACGAAGATAAAACTATCGTTATGTAATTTAGTCAAACAACATTAACGAACTTTCCTGCTAGTCAGTTCATTCGTACTCTTTTTTTTTCTGAAAATATGCTTGCTAGTTCGTTCGTACTTAGAAATATCCACTGATTAGAGAATTCCAAAAATATGGCTATCTTAGATAAATCACCATAATTGTTCCTCGTGAAATCATCTTTCTCTTTTAACAGCAACTAGATCTCGACCCGCACAACCGTGCAGGTATTTTAATACGAAATATTTGAAATTATATTATAAAATTTATCAATAAAGAAATATAATTTGATTATGTATACTATTCAATTTTATAATAATGTTTATGTGGCTTATTATATTATTAATATAAAATTTATAACTTTGTATTTTTGTAACAATTTTTAAAAACATTATTATGTAACATTACTAATTTATGCATTTCATTTTATTTTAAAATTAAAATATATGTAAAAATTAAATTAAGGTGTACCTAGATAATACATAAGCAAAATTTTGGGATACTGTTAAAAGAATTTTACATAATTTTAATTTTTTGTTTATAGATAAAAATGAATTAAAACTTTAATTAAATAATTTTTGAAACTATATCTTGAAAAGATTCTAAAAGGTTTTTATAAATTTTGTTAGAATTTTCTTAAAACTATTTATTTGTATTTCAAACAAAAATTAAAGATATGAAAAGATATTATAATGTTATGTAAAAGTTTATAAAATTATAAAGATGGTCAAAACTAAAATATCACACATGAAATGAGTCATGACTTCTCCTTTAATATAATAGATTAACTCTAAATATTACAAAGATAATTTTAGAGCTTCAAGAAAGTAGTCATCTAAACTTAAGATGTAATAAATTTTTAACAAGTTATACTGGTCGACAAAAAAACTTGAAAGAGAAGCAAGGGACAATACAAGATTATAAATAATGGGTGAGATTCGTGAGAATAATCTCAAAGAAGGCACCAAGTTGTTTTTCTGTGAGTTACAGTGAGAGATTAATCTCGTCTAAATTTTAAAGAAAAGAAATTTCAAATAGAAATTTAAATTCCGACAAACACGTTGATCTTACATGATGAACAGAGAAAAAAAACATGTTCTCGAAGACCCTTCTTGTTGACGAACAAAAGCAAAACTAAGAATACGAACACAACCAAAATTCAGGCACCATTGCTCTTGACTAGTCAATTACACAACACATATTCACGTTGTGATGTGATGAATCTGGAAATTTCAAACAAACCCTCCAACACTTGTTCTTCCCATCTACACTTGTGCAGAAGACTCTACAGAATGATCAAGGTAATTTAGGGGAAGAAAGAAACATCTGACCTCAAACGGAAGGTGTGTGTGTGTGTGTGTGTGTGTGTGTTTCGCCCAACACTTTGATCTACTTCATAGAATTGCAACATAGATGACTGGATCTGATACAAAACCCACGATGGATATACACATTGGTATAAACAAGTTACTCATTTCGTACATGCATATTTAACAATGAACTTGACAATAATTTCCAACGCTATCCAAACCCAAGATTGCAGAAATAAAAGTTCCACGAATGTATACAGAACCTATATTACAACGCCGACAAGTTCCACGAATCAACAGTCAAGACAATAGATTCAAATTCTGGAGCTTTATAATACATACCTTGTTGTCCTCACGAAACTCAACCTCGTTCCAACAGCGACACACTCGGAGTCTCAAACAAAGGCATGGAATATCGCTTGTGAACAACTCTGACGTCAAAATATATAACGTCAGAGCAAGGCATGTCCACAGGCTCCATTTAGCCGGTAACCAAGAGACCCTTTGCCGATAAACCACCTATGCTTCCATAACCTATCGTTCCTCGTAATGTTGGCTTCGTAAATATGTAAACTTCTTAAAACCTATACAATCTCTTCAGTATATAAACTTCTGAATAGATACAACTCTTAGACAATAAAGCTGTGTGCGAAAGGATGCAACTCTTCGTAGACAAAAAAAGAAAGAAAGGATGCAACTCTTAAAGGGAAATAATTTCTGCAATTTATTTTGGAGACACCTTTGTCCTTTGACGAGATGCGTTAAAGACGTCGATTGCTAATGTGAGTTATGGCGTCATACCCTTAATCTAAATAAATTATAGCCGTTGGATTATATTCTCAGAACTATTTTCACCGTTAGATTTTAATTTTTTTTCTTATAATAAAAAATGACATCATTACTTAATTTTAAGTACCAAAATTTTGAACTCATTCGGATATTAAATCAATTTCGATTCAGGTTAGATACTATTTTTTTCGATCGGTTCAGTTCTTCAGAGCCAGGGTTTTTGTCCAGCCCTAGTTGTGTGTCAAAACAATTGGTCTGAATGGTTTTGGTAACGAGGACAAACAAAAAAAAGGCCAAGCATGTTTCCACCGTAGCTAGTCATATGGAAAAACATAACTCAAGGTCACATAAACAATGTCAAGATCTAAAACAAATGAAGCATACTGGACATGCGATGCTTCCACCTGAATCCAGTGATCCGCAGTAGGCAAGAGCGGCTTCACTCGGCTGCGTTCTCTTCCACTTTTATCCCTTCTTCCATACTCTTTCCTCCAGAGGTTTCATCAATTACCTTACTGTCAAGGAGTAGCTCTCCAGCGTCATTAGTGTTCTCTTTCGCAGCAACTTCCTCTTCCTTGATCTTTTCTTCAGAGGCTGCACTGATATTCTTATAGACAATGACTTCATCAGGTTTGTGTTCAGCAACACGTAGGTCTGGAAAGTTTCTTTCGTTCAATGAATGCAACCAAATCGCCACAATTCCATCCTTTTCTTCTGCTGAGCCTATATGAGAGTAAACATGCTTCCATTTGAATTCTTCAGCTACTTGCTTGTATTCTTCCATTGACACCTCCTCATGAGTGGATTTAAACCTTTTGTTATAAGACGTGAAGAAGCATTCATCAAGGTATAGTCCAACTTCTGGCGCCATCGGTACAACTATTCTCACATCCCTAATAAAAAGAGTTACCATTTCAAAAATAAGTTTGCCTCTCACAACAATTCTATACTAAAAAAAGAAGAAGTAGCTAAGCTTACTTCTTGAAAGCGGTTTGGATCAGTGACTCAGGTGCATAGTTCCTCATGACAGCAACAGCAAGCCCAATCATTTTCCGGATCTGATGAAGCATAAAGCTCTGCCCCACAACTTCACACTTCACAAACTCTTCCCCCTCAAGTGTAATCACTGTATCAGCATTAAAAGAGAGAATGTAGCGGTTAGCAGCCGGGTCTGCTGCTTTAGTTCTGGTGGTGAAGTTATGGAAGTTATGTGAACCAACATAATATCCTAGGATTCTATTAAACCTCTTCTTCTCCTCCTCCCCATAACAAAACTTCCTCATCTCTTCTTCCCCCAAGGCTTTAGACTCTGTCTCCAAAGTCTCAACCTTTACTGCACCACAAGTGTTCGACGAAATGTCTGACTGAACATTTCCATCACTTTCTTTCCCCATAACACCAAGTGGGATCTTATACCCTTTCTCACAACACTCAACACACTTAACATACTCATACCCCGAATCCGACCTAGCCATCTCAGCTTCACTATGCGAACACGGATCAAGAGCAAAAACAGGGATCAAATACACATACCTCCTCCGATCACAAAACTTCTTGGAACTAAACGACGGCGCAACGCGCTTAAACCCAAACACACGGATCTGATCGGGGAGATTCGAATTGAGCCGATCCACGAACCCGGGCGGGTCGACGTAGAATCGACCCGAGACGACTTGTCCCACCGCGCTCACTCCCTTATCCGTTCGAGCCGATCGAGCCCACTCGTAATTTCTCGGTTTGTTCCGATCGGATTCCGGTACGGCGCCGGCGTGGAAGAGAGCCTCCTCGAGCTCGCCTTCGATGGTTTTGGCGCCGGGGTTCTTTTGCATTCCCTGGTAACCTACTCCGCAGAAGGCGAACACGATCGCGACTTTCCGGCGTTTGTATTTCGGCGGTCTACGCTCAGCGCCGCCGCTTACGGCGGATGCAGCGGCCGGCGGAGGAGCTGGTTCATCGTCTGCGGGGGAGATCTTGAGCTTCTTCTGCTCTGGTTCGTTATCGGGAGCTTCGTCTTGGGGGAATTTTTCGATCTGAGGCTCTTGATTCTCCATTTTCAGTAGTGAGAGGTTTTCTTCTTTGTTCCCTCGTAGAACCCTAGAACTATAGAAGACGGAGTTGCAACGACGACGTATTGCAGAATCAGACCGCTGTTAATTATTGGGCCTTAAAAGCCCAACAGTATGATTAATATAGGGCTTTTAACCGATAGGCCCATTTACTGCGCCTTTAAGCTTAGATGTTGTTGTGTATGATTGTGAGCAGTCCTTGTTCTTTCTCGAAGAATTAAAAGCTCTAGCTAGACAATACTTGAGGTGTCCTGATAAATTATTTTGATCAGCATATAAATACAGTATTCTAAATTTTAAATGTAAATACAGTATTGTAAATTTTAAACGATTTCACCCTGAAAGATACAAAATTAATTTTCGAAGGGTCAATAATTTATTTTAAAAAGTTTTGAAATATTTGCCGGAATGTTTAGAATATTTTTCTGAAGAGTTCAAAGAACTCTGGCGGGTTTAAAGAATTTCGACGGGTTTAGAATTGATTTCAAGCAGTCTTTCTAGCATAAAAAATATCACTTTTATAACTCGATTTAACTTCTTAATTGTTAGAAATCTAACCACACACATATTAAAAATGTATATAACCACAAACATAAAATAAATAAAAGTTTGAGGATACAATGTTGATCTCTACATGAGAGAGGTATATTCATGCATTAGTTTAAAAAAGTTTATTGTTGATATGTATAGCAACGAAATTATGTTTTTTTTTAAATCACTGTCTGCGCCTGATTTTTTTTCTGATCAATCAATCAACCTTCACTGCGGGAGGGATGAAGTCTACATAAATTGGTCCCAAATCAAGTGTAGCAAATGGGCCTCCTCAAGTATGACTTACACATTGTTCAATAATTCGAGAATTAGTTGTGCTAACTTTTTAATATTTTTTTTGGTAAACTAGTTGGGCTAACTTTTTAATATATATTTGAATATTTTTCCCAATCTTAATGTGTAATGGATGACATGAATAACAACATGATTCTATATGCATTTGTAGAATTAGATACCAAACTAACTTGTTTATTCATGATCATTAAGAAGTCTATTTATACAAGGAGGAACATGGTAAAGATATCTCCTAAGTTCCTATAAAGTAGGAGATACATACGACATTAGTATTATCTATAGGAAGATCATCCTTATCTAAACTCTCTTCCTAATACTCCCCCTCAAGTTGGAGTGTGGAGGTTCGTAAGACCCAACTTGAATGATAGATTTTGGAACTTCTCACGACCAAGAGCCTTCGTCAAAATGTCTGCGACCTGAGAATGTGTTGTAACGTGGATAGTCTCGATGTATTTGGCAGTGACAGCATCGCGAACAGCATGACAGTCATTTTCAACATGTTTGGTGCGTTCATGAAACACTGGGTTCGCAGCAATGTGAATTGCCGCCTTACTGTCACAGAATAAGCGTGTGGGAGCGTGTTGTTTGATACCCAATCCTTCAAGAAGACGTCGCAGCCATTTGATTTCCTTAAGAGCTTCTGACATTGCCCGATACTCAGCTTCAGCGGAAGAATGAGAAACAGTGTCTTGCTTCTTTGTTTTCCACGAGATCGGTGAGCCACCAAGTAAGACCACATAAGCACTGAGTGACCGGCGAGTAACAGGGCACGATGACCAATCAGCATCACAGTAGACCGAGAGGGAAAGATCGGAATCAGCTTTGAGAAGAATACCCTGACCAATAGAACCTTTTAAATAGCGCACGACACGAAGAGCTGCGTCCCAATGAGCTTCTTTTGGAACCTGCATGAACTGTGTCAAGATGTGAATCGCATAGCTCAGTTCTGGTCTCGTATGACTGAGATAAATTAATCGACCAACAAGACGTCGATACTTCTTCGGATTTTCAAGAGTCGGACTTTCAAGTTTGGGATGAGCTAGCTGATGTCCTTGTTCAAGTGGAGTTGGCGCTGGCTTGCACCCGAGATTACCTGTCTCACTAACAATGTCAAGAGTGTATTTTCGTTGAGAGACAAAGAACCCCTCTGGACCTCGACTGACTTCAAGACCCAAAAAATACTTGAGTTTGCCAAGATCCTTCATAGAAAAACAGCGACTAAGGTAAGCTTTGAACTTCCGAAGCATATGGGTGTTGTTGCCGGTAATCAATAGATCATCCACATAAATAAGCACAATCATCTCAATCCCATTCTGCACGTAAGAGAAGCAAGAGTAGTCATCGTATGACTGAACAAAGCCAAACCGTAGCAGAGAGTCCGAGAGCTTCTTAAACCAGCACCTAGGAGCTTGTTTCAGACCGTATAAAGACTTCTTTAGACGGCATACTTTGCCTGGATGAGTGTGGCGAAACCCAGGAGGAAGTAGCATATAAATTTCTTCGTCCAAATCGCCATGAAGAAAGGCATTGTTAACGTCCATTTGATAAACCTCCCAGTTCTTTGCTGCAACAATTCTGAGAATGGATCGGATGGTGGTCATCTTGACAACAGGAGCAAACGTTTCGGAGTAATCTTCGCCTTCAACTTGCTTGCTTCCATTGACAACCAGACGCGACTTGTGGCGTTTGATAGTACCATCCGGGTTATACTTTATTGTATAAACCCACTGACTCGGAATCGCAACTTTTCCAGGAGGAAGTGTTGTAATGTCCCAGGTGCCCTGATCTTCTAAAGCACCAACTTCGACAGACATAGATTCGTTCCAGACATCAAACTTAGCCGCTTCTCCAAAATGCTTCGGTATAATTTCAGCAGTAATAGCAGCCAGAAAAGCTTGATGTCCTGAGGAGAAGTTAGTATCTGAAATAAAATCAGATAACGGGTAGAGAGATGTACCTGAGACCTTTGACGAGGACTGTGACGAAAGAGTGAGAGTAGGAGCGTGATGGGTAACTTGAACATTGTAGGTAACGTAGTCGCGAAGCTTCACAGAAGGAGTACGTTCCCTCTGTCCTCGACGAAGTGTATCAGGTAAGGAGTCCGTTGAAGGGACTGCTGGTGATGGTTCAGCAGAAGCAACCGCTGGTTCAAGAACAGAGGAAGTGGATTCTGGCGGTTGTGTCGTTGTCGGAAGGTCAGGAGAGGGAGGCGAGGTTGATGGAGTAGGTGCTACCGTGCTCCCCCTGTCAACAATAATCGGTGTGACAATCCAATCTTCATCAGGTGGAGGTGTTGGAGGTGCGGAAGGAATTATCGCCGGCTTCTCCGTATAAGGAAATAGATCTTCACGGAAAACGACATCTCTCGAAATCATTATTTCTTCAGTTTCCAAATCAAACACCTTCCAACCTTTCTGGCCAAGAGAATAACCAAGAAAGATACACAAGCGACTTCGAGGCGCAAATTTGTCTCGAGATCGTGAAGGCTTATGAACATAGCAAGCCGACCCAAAGACCCGGAGTTGACCATAATCAGGCTTGTGTCCATGCAGAATCTCGTAAGGAGAGAGACCCTTATGTAGTTTCGACGGAGTACGATTTATCAAGTATGCAGCCGTGAGGATAGCTTCGCCCCAAAACCTGATAGGTAACGAGGCCTGAAACAATAATGCGCGAGCAACGTTGAGGATGTGCCGATGCTTTCTTTCAACTCGACCATTCTGTTGAGGTGTTGCGACACAAGAAGTCTGATGAATAATGCCAAGCTCGCGAAAGTGATTGGAAAGACAGATGAACTCAGTGCCGTTATCACTGCGAACTGTTTTGACTGACTTCTTAAACTGCCTTGTGACATACGTAAGAAAGTTTTTCAGAATCGTGGGAACTTCAGATTTGGCAAGCATAAGGTACGTCCACACCGCTCGGGAGTGGTCGTCGACAATAGTAAGAAAATATACAGCTCCACAAGTCGATGGAACTCTATAGGGTCCCCATACATCACAGTGAATAAGAGAAAAAATTTCTTTCGAATTATTATTACTGTCTGAAAACACCTCACGAGTTTGTTTAGCCTGAAAACATACGTCACAATGACGAGAAAGAACAGAACTAGAAGAAGAAGAAAGCACTGGTAAAGCCGAAAGCACTGAAAAACTTGGATGTCCTAAACGCTGATGCCAAAGAGCTTGATCCGCAGAGACATTGACACTGTGAACTTTAGCTGTGGCGACCTTTGTTAGGAAGTAGACCCCATCACGCTCTTCACCTCTTCCAATCAAAGTCCTCGAAAAATGGTCCTGTAAAATGCAAACCGTATCAGTAAAGGTTGCGAAACAACCCGTTTGCTTCAAAACTTTTGAAACCGAGATGAGTGTGCAGTTCAAAGATGGCACAAGCAACATATTTTTTAAAGAAAGTTTCGATGAGAGTGGAAAATCCCCCATACGAACAGCAAAAGTTTTGCTGCCATCAGCAAACCCAATAGAACACGGTGGTATAGAGACGACATTGATCAACAAGGAGACATCTCCAGTCATGTGATGAGAGACTCCCGTGTCAAGAATAACATCACCGTATCGTGGCTTACCAGAAAGCTTATCACTCGAGGTAGTCTTATCTTGGATCAGGTTAGAGAGAGCTCGCCATTGTTCCTGCGTAAAATCGGGAAAAACAGAGGAGTTTGCAGATGTGGCGTGAGCTGTCGGCTGCTGTGTTCTGCCACGACCACCACGTCCTGCACCTCTGCCACGAGTACTCTGCTTATTACGCTCAGTCCACCAATCTGGATAGCCAACAATTTGCCAGCAATCCCGTTTTTCGTGACCATTACGCCCGCAGTGTGAGCATAGCATGGAACGATCACGAGTTCGAAGAATCGTATCTGGTTTTGTTGAAAGAGGGTTGGGAGTTGAATCTGATGACGTCTCTTGTTGTTGTGTTCCAGAAGTAGCAAGCCCCAAAGCATCATGTTGAGACTCACGACTTCGAGAAGATTCAATACGTTGTTCTTCGCGGATTGCCTTAGAGTAGACTTCTTCCAAGGATGGCAAAGGATCAAGGCCAATGATGGTTGTACAAAGACTCCCATACTTAGCATCGTCAAGTCCAAGTAAGAAATCATGAACCTTGTCTTCTTCTCTCTCTGTGGACAACTTTGCTGCAACTCC